CTTCTGAAATGACCTTTCGGACAAATACGTCCATCGTACCCTTTATTTTACTTAATTTGCCTGAAAAGTTGAAGTCAATTGTATTGGTAATTATGATTCGTTTTAAACATCATTTTAAAGTTGTAATTAAACCCACTCGTTGTTCTGTTCGTGTCAAACATTTTCGTCCAAAATTCTGTTTTGCCTTTTATGCAAAAAGAAAAAAAATTTTGTTTTACGTGTAGTGCGGTCCTCCTGCACTTACTATTAGATCGTTCTTCCCCTGGACTCTTCACATGGTTTTTCATATTTTCTTAGAGTGCCTTTGAAATTTTCACGGCACACTTAGGAAGATCTGGTTGAGAATCACTGCTCTAACTCAATATCATCGACAGTCTTCGACAATGCAAACACTACTTATGTTCAATTTAAGTCAACATTGATGTTGTTATCTTAACGTGAAAAGATGGGCTTCTGATATCCAATATTGAAGACAAAATTAAAATTTTAAAATTGGTACACAAAACATGCGTCTGAGTACTTCCCAGCACCATTTGTAATGAAGCGACTGAATGAACGAGGCTAAGCATATCCCACACGAGAATACTACGGGTGAAGACTGGAATTTGGACTGATTAGAAATTATAGTAAAAACAGAAACAAATTAAATTATTATATGCGTTGAGAACCATTTGTGTCAATTTCTAGGTGCCAAAGAATAGAGATTTAGCTACAAATGAAGGCATTAAGTATAGACTTTTGTAACCAGCAAAATCAAACACATCTTTATACATGTACAGCAACACCACTGTGTACATGTATATTACCGGGTAGCTTAAATAATTCTCGATGTCTGATGGTTTACTAAAATTGAAAAATAAGGGCAATAAATAATTTGGTTGACAAGAATAAATAGGGCAAAGCTTTATCCAATTTGGTTCAAATTTTTGAATGATTCCCACAGAATACAATGTAGATCAAATCTTTATGAAACTGTAATTTTTATCTCAGTCAAAACATTCTCACAATTAACTACTTTTCTTTAAAAATTTTGAAAACAGTTATGGAGGCTATTCAAGCATAATTTACTCTGATACAATCTATCACACATATACATTATCACACATATGTATATCAACCAAATAGACCTACAAACATGTATAACAAACAGAATCATTGACCTAATGTAAATTCTAACCCAATTTTATTATTATTCAATAAATATAGGTCAAGATGGATATGATTCAGCTGTACAAGTAAACATGTAATTAATCATACCTGATTTTAGACCATGGAACAGTACACAAGTTCTAGTCCTTTATCTATTTGATTTAAGATACAAATGAAATATTGTCATAAGCACTACCGGTACTAAGGACATGTATTTTGTCTAAAAAAAAAAGTAAACTATATGACAACACGTCTCAACTCTGAGTTCACAAGCTGTTGTATGTACTGAAAATCTTATTGTTGAGTGTCTGCGTAAAGTTGTATGACTTTGTCGGCCACTGGCAAGGGAAAACCATGATGGAAAATCAAGAGGAATTTTCTCTGCCAACAATGGGAGCAAACTCAAGGTCTCCAGGCTAGCGATCCAGCTTCTTACTCCCTGAGCCACCCTTCACATTTACAACATATTGTCCAAAAACATAAACTTAATGCACCGAAATTCATGGTAAACCTGCTACTGATCATCATCTCTATCAGGTGTTATATATAGAGTAAATACTAAGGCCCATTCTTTTATCAAATGCCAACTGCCAAGGGATCTACAACTTGGAGTAACAGTGAGTGGCACACGAACTAGGAGATTGGTTCTGGGATCTACCCCAGTGTTGGCAGAGAAAGTCCTGTTCTTAGGATGGAAAACCAAGAACCCATGTATACAATTATTGCCAGCTAGTTGAAATTCCTGAAAACTGGAAATCTAAATAAAAGTTGGCTGCAGATCGGATGTGGGGTAAATTTTCCCTCATTTATAGTACACTGATTAGTGACGAAAAGCAAGACAATAAACCCCACTACATTTTAATTGTATAATAAATTTCAGAAAGTGGCAGACAAAACAATAATTATGAATTATGTACTGACATGCAAAATTGAATGGTGGTAGAGATGTTGAAAAGGTAAGCATAATTGATGCATAAAGTTAGTATTCGCAGAAGGGAATCTGAAAAAAAAACAACAACACCTTATAGTATTATTTTGAAGTTTACCTAGCTGCCGACCTCAAAATAGCCATTAAAATGGGTGATGAAAGATTCAGATCCCATCAAAATTCAAAAATCTGTATCACAAATTTTGGAGTTTCCTCTTTAACTGATTGACACAAAAACCTGTCAAAGTCTCAGGAGAAGTCAAACATACCGGTAAATTAATTCACTTAAAAATTAGCACACAACATAATAAAAAACTATTGGATCCATAAGCCTAAATCTTTGTCATGGGGAGCCATGACAGGATCCCTGCGCTGTTTGAGAAAGTTCATCAGATTAGGATTTTCCACCGTAATTCCCCCTTGTCAGTAGAGCAGGACGGAGGGCCTGCATGGGGACAACATATAGTAGTTCAGATGGGACATAAATCTGAGGTCCCGTTTACATATTGGTGTACACAAAAGATTCCTTGCCAGCTGGAATTCGATGAGATTAGGCCATAGCAGAACGTAATTAGCTCGGTGCAGAAAAGTAGAACGTTTAAACCCTATTAATATCATTCAACAAATCCTTACATTTAATTACCTGATACTTAAAGGAGCATTACATAAGATTTAGATAAAGAGCTGGCCATTCTCGCTATAATAACTCAAAATAGATATTGCAAAATGAATATATTGAAAATTCCATTCAAATTACTTAATTGTGAGCAAAGTTATCAATAGCTGTAGTTTTGACAAGATATGTGCATTGATGGTAACCACCCTACTGGTCATTCAAGTCTTAGATCTCGCTTCTCCATTTTCAAATTAAACCATTAAATGTACGAAACGCTCCAATACATGTATGTGCGGGTCGATTGTAATCTGAGAGTATCAAACTGGTGTTCATATTGTCAACTGATTACTCCTAAATGTTTTTAAAGACAAAAGTGGGGTGTCAGACGCCCTGTGTAGGATCTATCCTCTATCAAATTTTCAAAATCACTGCATAATAAGCGTGTGCTAAGAATAAGATTTAGTTTCGAATCTGTCGTCTCTCATAATCTTTGGTATTATTTACGTCATCTAATCGTATGACAGAATGTCAAAATATTTGTTGTAATTACCGTAAAGTTAATGTCAGTGTTATTTATTTTGGCATAGTTGAAATAAAGACATTTTTATAACAAACAGTAGACAGATTTTAAAATATTTTATCAAAGTGCAATGTACGTGTTTCTGAATTCTGGTTAAGTGAACAAAAATCCTCAGAAACATGTATGCCTGTGGGTCCAAAGGGCTGTTGGGCTGTGACGCGGCAAATATTTGGGCAGTTCCTACTAAAATATATAACAAACTGTGCAATCATACTTCTGTTTCTGTATCGCCTTGCTCCTATTTGTACCACTAAACTGACGGTCACTAATTTCATAGAATGAAACTAACGTGTGGTGAATACCGAGTAGGGTTAGACCGATTATCAGTGTGTGCAAAATAGCTTTATTTAACACCCACATCCACCTACATTGTATCAAGTGATATCGTATACAATTGCATTATTATGTGATATTTATTTACATGTATGATTAAGGGATATAAAAGATTGGTGAAAATATGTACATGTACTAAACAAGGAAGGACATCATGGTAATTCATTAAATACCCTGGGCAGGCTCAAATCCATGTGCTCAGATAAGTAAACAAAGATTTGCACATGTGCAGGATTAATCTGGATGCGAGGTGAACTCTGCCACGAACATATATACACTGTTTTTATGTTCATGAGGCTAAAACGCCAAGAATCTTGGTTAGACAGTAGCACAAATTACCCAAATCCACTAATATTTTAACTCATATACCCGTAATAATAATTTACGTTTAGATCTATATTTGATAATATTCTTTATGCCAAATTGGCATTTTTAATTCAAAATCGTAACATTCGTTTGTTTCACAAATGTCTCTTAAAATGCAATTTCAAAACAAGCAATTTTGTGCAATACACAAGTTATTATGTCCCTTGGTTACAACTTCCAAACTTGCTTTGAAATCAGAAATTTGAGGGGGGAGGGGGGAATTCTGACACAAAAACACTAAGATCACTAAGATTTTAATTTCAAAATGACTATTATTGCCATATGAGTTAAATTATGGTGAATTTGGTAACAACTTCCAAACTTGCTTGGAAATCGTATTTTGAGGGACATAGCGGGGTCAAGGTGGCTAAGACGCTGGCTCGCTAGCCTGGAAGTTAGGTGTTCGATCCCTGCATTGGCCCAGAAAGTTCATCCAGATTTTCCGTCGGGGTTCCCCCTTGTCAGTGATGCAGGACAGAGGGCCCGACAAAGACAGCTATCTTGTCATTCGGGTGTTACGAAAAACCAAGGTCCCGTGTAGACATTGGCGTGCATGTGACATAAAAAGATCCCTTGACAGTTGGAATTCGATGTACATTTAAGAGTAGGCCGTAGTGGCGCTGTCCGGGCAAAATTTCCCTCATAGCACATATGACGTATGCGCGTCTTCATTAGCCCAGTTCGGAGCAGAACAGTAGGACGTTAAACCCCATTTCATTTCATTTCTCGATATAAATTATTGTCTTAAATTTAAATAAAGTTGAAATAATGGTGGATTTGGGTAAATCATGCTACCGGTACCGAAGAATTCTACTGACTTTCAACAACTTCCATTAATTAATTTCAGAGTTAGTGGACTATACTTTGAAATTTGTCACTCTTTGACTTTGAACACATTGTAGTAGTATGAACCCAGTGTTTTGTTTTTGTGATCATGTGCAATGTGTGACAAGTTAATCGAGACAGACCGTCACATAAAGTCAAATAAAGTTTGTTCGCATTGCCACTTCCTTGGACAAAATACCTACCTCGAACTATTAACGGAAGCTGATACTTAATTTTCAGGTATCTTCAATACTCATTTATAGTCTTGGACACCATAAACAAGATTTCTAACGCTTAAGACATTGACATTCGCCAAACAAATCATGATTGAATTAACCAGGAGTGTCATCCTTCGGTTCGAGAGCACTGAGTGACACAAATTTATTTGGTTTTACTATAACTTTCTTCCGAAACGAAATTATAAACAAAATATTTGTCTGGAATGTATGCACAATTTTTGACACAAAAATGAAATAAAGAAGGGTCAAACGACAGTTAGAAAATAAACTTTAAGGATTAAGTCAAGAAATTTTATAGCGATAAGTTTCGAGCAGGTTTGTTCAGCGTTTCGAGCAAGTTTGTTTAGCCCCAGTAAAGGGAGCTAAATCCATTTAATAACCCCTGCTTTCTAGTTTCTACTTCACAAACAATCACAGAATCTGGTCTATCACTTCTTTATTTATAGTCAATTTAAAGAATGTTTCTTTCTGTTGTCAGATTGTGAAGAAATAATTGCAATTTTCATATATACCTCATAAACATGTACCTCATAACACTTGATTTATAGGCATACCAGTACTGTAAAGAAATGAAATGGGATTTAGAGCCCTCTGGCATGGGTATCTTAAATGCGGCAAATTTACAGCTTGATTTTTGTTCACTATAAGAGCTGTGTGGAAATAGGGCAAATTTTTTCAAATACTAGGTTGACCAACTAAAAAATAAATTTTAAGATACCTGTATAGGCCTACCCTTATGAAAAAGTCCTGTGGAAAGTGTAGGTTGCTATAGAATTTTGTGGAGGCCTATACCTAAAGCCCATGGATGCATGCATGTAGGCCAGCTTAATTACTTTTTTGAGGATCTGAAAGAATTGTATTCCTTCTTTAACATTGTCTATGATTAAGATTTTTTTTTTTTTTGCATTGGTGCAAAATTAAATTTAAAGGAGCCGTCTCAACTATATTGCAGGTAATGAAAGTGGTTAAATTTGTGCCAAAGTGCCTTAGAAAAATTTATCCAAATTCCATGCTATATTAGTGTCTAGATAACCATGTCTACATTTTTTCTGAAGGTAATTGGTAGGTACATGTAATTGTTGCAACTGTACAGTCACTAATATAAATAAACTAAGCCACGGTTGAATGAAACAAGCTTGACAGACTCTATTAAAACTGATGACAGAAAACAGCTTTACTTGGTATTTTAGTGCTTGAAATTTCCATAACTAGTGCAACACTATTGGTAGAATTTTTGCTCTTTAAATTAATAATAGCATTATAATTATTGAATTCACACATGCAGATCTCATGTACACAAATGAATGATTGATAAGTTTATACATAAAATCAGCTATAATTTGTCCTCGTGGTAAGTTTTCACTGTCCATATAAGGGTGGTTTTCGACATCATTAGGCTAATTAACCAATCATTATAATTAATTACATCGTATTTGACCAATTAGATAATTGACAACAATACCTCATATCTCTGGGCATTAGACAGACAGCCGCTATATACTAGAGGGAGAAGATGTAGCAATTTCTATCAGCAGACTCCTAGCGTCTGGGCGGAATATGGGATTGAAATGAAATGAAATGAAATGGGGTTTAACTTCCTACTCTTCTGCACCTAACCTGGGCTAATGAAGACGGGCATACGCCATACAGTGTGCTATGAGGGAAATTTTGCCCGGGCAGCGGCGCTTTGGCCTACTTTTTCGTCCCGTCCGAACGACTAGGCAGCTGTCCTTGTCAGGCCCTCCTTTCTGCATCTCTGACAAGGGGGAAACCACGCCGGAAAATCGAGATGAACTTTCTCGGCCAATGCAGGGATCGAACACCCGAATATGGGATTGAGAGTATGTCTTTATTGTAATCTATGCTAGTACAGTAAACTTCACATAAGTCGGATCTAAATGGACTGACGAATTTTATCTGAGTTACGCAAAGATCCGAGTTTAGCTCTGAACATAGGTCTCATTATCGCCCTGTACATTCAGGAACTGTCCTAGTTAATCCTTGTCGAAATAAAATCGGTTCCCAGTCAATTTTACTGGGCAACTTTTTGCTGCTAAATGGTTGTGTGCGAGTCTGAACAATGTAAAGGAACATTTTGGTGAGAAAATAAGACCTTTCTTTCTTACCTTGCTAGAGTCAGTATGAGCAACACAACATGCTGTTAAAATTGCGTCCCCTTTTGATAAATGTCTTTGGCGGACGCCATTGAGGTCTAGATGTTGGGTGGCGTACAGATTTACTTGGCTCGGCCATATAAGACGAAACAAAATTTATGTAAGCTTGGGTAGGGAAAAATTAGAAACTTCAGTCAAATATCGCTTTGCCTAGCCCAATTACAATCGATTTTTTTTTTATAAATTCCAATTTCGTTTTGTCTTATATGGCCGAGTTGCGCAAATTTGTGGGCTGCCGTGTATTTGGATTTCAATGGCGTCAGCCAGGCCGTTTGGCGGAGGAGGACGTATATTTAACGGCATGTTGTGAACATACTGCCGATCCGACTTAGGCGAAGGAAAAAAGCCGGAATTAGATCAAATGGACTGAACATTTTGATCCGAGTTGAGCAAAGATCCGACTTAGGAAATCTGACTTACGCGCAGAAATTTAATAAGAAAATCGTGCCGGATTAAAGGGTCCGAATGATTTTATCCGAGTTGAGCAAAGATCTGACTTATACGAATCCGACTTATGCAAGGTTTACTGTATCTTATTTAATCAGTGCTTGATATAAAAAGTAAAAACAAACTGATGCATTGTTATTCCTGGTAAGACAAATGACTGAGAAGACAACCGTATTACCAGTGAAGATAAAAATATACACAACGTGAGTCCTAAGAAGAGAATTACAAATACTAGACGATCACAAGGCTATTGAGATATGTAGTAAGAAGAGTGTGCATGGGTCATACGTAGGATGTGGCGACCAGATTTGATGTCCCGCTTTCCACGTCTGACAAAAGACCCATGGTACTACACTAGGTGCATCTAGAGATACTTTAAAAATGATAATATAGAATAACATCTATTTTTTTTTACTTCAAAATGATATTATTATATTTAATCAATTCCATAAACATATATAAATAAGATCCTTGAAGAATTCTACCATTTCTGTATAATTTTAAAATATTTTCTTAACTATATAATTCTTTGTCTTGTAATTTTTTTTGTTCTTATGCAACATTCAATGACATCATCTGGCAAACTTCTTTTTCTTTTTGGTGCCAAAGTATGAGAATTGTTCGTTCTGAAATGGATTACGGTATGATCAAACTGACATTGTTGAGGACCAACACTAACATCAGTATTAAAACATACAGAATCATGGTGCCATTTTTGTAGAATTTCAATCTTTTGATTCAAAAAATCAGTTTTATTCTTTAATTGCATCAGTTTCTCCAGTTTTTCTGCTGTTGACAGCTTCCCATTAGAATTTCTTGTTTGTGTCTGTGTAATTTGTACATCAGTTGTTTTTGACTTGTTCTTCATTTTCATTAATGTACGTCGATAGACACTACATTTGTCACATTGCTGCTTTTGAGTATGAATTAACAAAGAGCATGAGGTAGTACGAATAGTTCCGCCTGTAATGTAATCGGTTTCCAAGAAAGAGCTACTGGTCAAAAATGGGTGAAAATATTTTTCTGAATTTCCAGCACATATTTGGTAACTTTGTAATCTTTTCAAAAGTATTATAATGACATCAAACTTACTAAAATACTGTGGGAAAAACTTCCAGAGAGGATGCCCATGGGGTATTACTTTGCCATGAACTATGACCTCTGCAGAGAGATCGTTTTTCACAGTGACACAAATCTGTATCTTGGGAATATCAGAATCAAGCAATTTCACATAGCGTATCAATTTTGAATGCTTCACAAATTCAAACTTGACCTTGAAACTAAGTTTCTGTTTGATGCATTTGTTTTTCAGGCTTTTATAAATTTCTTCCAGTCTTTTCTTGACAAATTTATCAGGTCCTCCACAGGGCTCATACTTGTATGGACGATCTAGAATGACGTAAAACTCCTGCGCAGTAGAGCCATCACAGTCTTCAAAAGTTTTGATGTCTTCACTGGTTCCTTCTAATGAATGACTAGCACCACCATCTGTATCAGTTTGTAACCAAGGAAGCTTCCACAAAACTGATCCATTTTCTTGAACAATTTCATCTTAAAACAAATAAAATACATTAAGATTAATTTATGATGCAGCTATGACAGGTTTGAAGGGTGGTGTTTATGAATTTAATGAAATGGGGTTTAACGTCCTACTCTTCTGCACTGCCTGGGCTAATGGAGACGTGCATACCCCCCCCCACCCCCATACAGTGTGCTATAAGAGTAATTTTTCCAGACAGCGACACTCTTTTTTCAAATTCCAACTGTCAAGGGTTCTTTCATGTTGTGCATGCAAATATGTACAGCTGTCCTCAGCTTTTCATCTCATCCGAATTACTAGATGCTGTTCCTCGCCCCCCCTCTGCACCCCTGACAAGTGAAAACAACGTTAATCCTTGGGAAGTTTCTTGGCCAACACTGGGATCAACCCATATCTCCTGGTTTATAGCTAAGTGAGCCAGCAATTTACTCACTCCCAGTGGTGACCATGAACTGTTACTTCCCATGCATACCCATAAAACCTCATATTACAGAGTGTTATGGTAGGTGTCTGTCAGTCTAATTAAAATTAAACCATTTTAATATTTACACAACATCAACCTCTTACAACATTTCAGTGTTTGCATATAAAACAGTGAGGGAAGGATACATCTATTGTCTCCGATGATCAAAACCCATGAATAAAAATAAATGAGAAATAGTCTCAAGTTTTCTAGAAAGTGGAAACTTTATACACAGTATATACCGATCCTTATTTCAGAACCTTGGATTGAAATTAATTTTCAGGAATCTAAATTAAATCTGAAAGAAAAATTTGGAAATTTCACAGTTCACCTTTATCTTTATATTTTTTCTTTCTTCCAATGGATCTTTTATTTCCTTTACCTCGAGCCATGCTAATATCTGAAAAGAAAAAAAAAATATTTTGATTAAATTATTTTTCTGGACATTGATAGGCTCTATGACATATTTACCCAAAACAGCATTTCTAAGATGAATTTTTTTTTTGACAGCTGTGTCACACGATTTCAATGCGATGTCACATGATTTCAATGTGATATCACGAGTCACATGATTTCAATGTGATGTCACATGATTTAGGGGCAATGTTTGATTCTTACAGTGAATTAACTAAGGGTTTGTACATGTATCAACTAAATAAAACTAATACTGTACCATAATCATTTAATAAGATTAGTGCAACTTACCAAATAAACTGCTGATAAACATGGACGACATTTATTAGAAAGAAAACAAATCAAAGGTCTACCTCTAAGTGTAATAAAAGGCCTAAATGGCTTTATTGCAATATGTGCCTTCATTTTTCATGGCGGTAGACAACCGTCAATCAGAATTACTTGATAAATTCCATAAAATTCCAGGTGTATTTCAATTAATACCTGGCTAACATGCAGACAGACAAGTTAATCTATTAAGATTTAAGACTGGAACTCACCGTGTGATGAGGCCACAGCTTTATTTTATAGTTTGTAATCATATCTATTTACATGTCTGTCCATTGAAAACAATGAACTGATAGGAATGTCCATTCAGGGAATTCCCCAACTATATTAAAAATTTTGACCATATAATTCTAACATGTTGGACTCTTTGCCAACGTAAATTTGAGATGCCACCAATTGTACAAAAAAAGTTATTAGCCTATAAATGACATTGGAATAAATGGGCAAAAAAAACCCAGTGGTCTTACTCTAATGACATTACTTAATGGAGTTGTCTCCCATAATAATTTTTTCCCATCTATTGTCAATTCCTGCATTATATCCAAAGCAAAAATACTGATATTGAAGAATAAAACGCGATTAGAGATTCATCTTATTTTAAAATCAGCGAAGACATTAACATTTAATTTTTATAAATAAACACATTTCCCGTTACCGTATGTAAATACTAGTTTTTTTTCACAGTGGGATACCCACACAACTCACAACTGTGTTTGAATTGATAATGATGGCCATGTGAATTGTGAGTAGCGTCGCCAAGCCTCAGTCATAAAGATGTCGGACGAAGGTAGACATCTCTAAAAATGAATGAGAATAGACTTAATGTCCATACAAACCTTTTGGTGGAACTCTTAATTTATCAGTCGAGAAGAACGCTTTTTAGTAGCTGTACCAAGTGAATGTCGACATGACCGAATAGCACGACTAATAATCCTCCCTCTGTGCACGCGGCTATAAATAGAATTTCCGCCACTTTGGTATGGCGTCTGCGATATCACTTCAGTGGAAGCAGACGTTAAAGAACTAACTTCAGTCAGTCTTTGGTGTAACGGTTATTTGTTTAACAATTTTTTCTATTCAATAGTATATATGAAATAACCTCAAATTCCATTTAATTCCAAAACAATAACGTTTGGGTATGTATTATGAAATGGTTGGTTTATAAATCATTGCCTCCTAAAGCTTCGATAAAATATGATAGCCTACTTGAGACTGTGGATCCTACTGTCACCCAAACTGTCCGCAATATCTCGATTGTTAGTATGAAAGTGCCCTGATTAACGTGAGTTTGACGTTATAAACTCTTCTGGAATCAAAACCTGCAAGGAAGATAATTATAGCCTACTAAAAATAGCCTATTACAAAGACACATTTTTTATTGTACCAGAACAATTACAGTAGATACAAGTTACGAAAATTTATATACAATGTTGCTGTTTAGAACAAATTTAAATACATTATACATGATATTATCGACAGGTTGAATTATTTACATATGAAGGATACCGGTAATACACATACATATAATTGGCAGTTTTTATAGGCCTATGGCCTGACTTCCAAAAACACATTCTGTACATATATATAGCCCCAAACAGATTGATATAGCCTAGCCTATACGCCTCCAAAGAAACCCTTTAATTCCCAGAGGTAGCCTACAGAGTTTAAGTTCTCTAACTATAGTATTAGGCGTCGTCTGGTGTGTTTTCTGGTGTAGGCTATAGGACTGTTTGCTGCTAAGTATACTATACTTCGATTGACAGCCCACTAATGTCACCGTTAAACCGATAACGAAGTCCAACACCTTCGTTAAATATTAAGTTAACGACATATTAAAATTAACGGGGCTTCCAGCAATAGACTTTCTCTCCGTTAAGGTTAACAATCCCTTAACTCCATGTTAACAACCGGCCCAAGCTACAAAACCTTAAAGGAAAAACTACACATCTAAAGGAACAACACACCACTTATCAAATATGCAATAATACAAATATACAATAATATACAATACCACACATATAACACTGTTAATTAATTAATACATACAAGCATAAAACTAACAGAAAATAATTATTTACAATTCTAAAACCGGTTTCGAGCACGACGATATAGGACACATGTCCTAGGTGTGGGCATTAGCATCATTTCATCCTTCTCAGTTATTGTTAGGGCCAATCCAAAATTTATTTAAATTACTGATACGCGCCTCTGCTGCGCTATAGTTTCCTGGAACAGAAAAATATGTGTTGCATTTATATAAATACGTTTTGACCGTTTCCGTTTGAATTAGACGACGGCACATAAGCCTAGTGCCAAACAGACTGGCGTTTCGTCGATGGGTCGTCCTATTTTTAGAGTTACATCTCTAGTTTTGTGTGCTTGTGCAAACAAATCTTTATTCCAATAAAGAACACTGTTTCGCATCCAAAATTTGAAAAGAAGTCATTGTTTTTCGCTTAGATTTCAACAAAGGACCTACATCTCCAACAATTATGGCATAACGATTTTCATTTGAAAAGAATATTCTTTGTCTGTTATATGATTGAGCTAATTGACTTAATAAAGTCGAGCTACTATTATGCGTTTCAGCGTCCTTTAGCTACTTTTGAATATTGAGAGTCTTTGTGGAGTTCTGTTTCACAGAAGCTTCTATAGACCACTTTTGTTCTTCTCCCTTTGCGAACACTAGGAACACTAAACCACCAAAACCATACAGCGCTGATACCATGAAGAAAAACTTTTGCCATTGTTCCCGAGATTGCTGTAAAAGAAAAGGAACATTACATGTAAAGTAGCTTTTAAATCTATGGAATGGAATTGGGTTAAAGACTCGTCGACACTTGGGTCGACACTTGGGCCATTTTGAGACCAACAAAGTGTACAATCATTTCTATTCCTGGTTACATGTGCCATGCGAGGTAACACTGGCTTTATATACTGAGCGCCATGGAAAACGCATCACTTGGTTTTTCGTATAACAAAATGATCCTGTAAACATATCTTATTTATTTTGCTTCTTATTGTGAACAATATTCAAACGGGAACACATCAATAACAACACATTTGTACACTTATGGATGTTTAATCTGTAATAAACGGTACAAAGTCAGAGGGGTCAAAACCAAAAGTACGACACAGATGTCAGTAGCGCGTGTGTCCTCCACGGGCTCTTACGCACGCTGTGCAGCGACGTCGCATGGAATTAACCAATGTTTGAAAGAAGGCCTGGGGCAAATTGTTCCATTCGTGAACAAGAGCAGCTTCTAAAGCAGCAATGGTGTGCATCTGTGGTCTCCGATACAGATCGCGTCCAATCTCATCCCAGACATGTTCTATCGGTGCCATGTCCGGATAAAGATGAAAGCGACTCTCATCACTGAAGAGCACACTTTGTCAGTCTACTCTTCTCCATGTCTGGTGTCCTTGAGTCCATATCAAACGCCGCTGACGGTGATGATCCCTGAGGATAGCTCCAACATAAGATCGTCGTGCACGGAGTCCTACTTCTCTTAGACGACGTCTTACGGTGTTGGCACTTACTGGTCCTTGTCTTCCGACGACTGCTGCACCTGTTCGAGTCGCTGGGCGGAATCTGTCACGCAGATGAGTGACCCGGATGTAGCGGTCTTGAGCCTGGGTTGTAACGCGTTGTGGACCAGGACGTTGACGGTCACGTGTTGATCCAGTAACTCGAATACGTTCCACCAACCTTACAATAGTGGACTGATGACAATTGAAGTGTCTGGCAATAGCACGTGTAGACATGCCAGCCCTGGACATTCCCATGGCTTCATTCCGTTGATTTTCAGTAAGTCTCGGCATCTCTAGCTCGATTCCTTCACACGTCCAACAACAAATTACGACAGACTGACGTTCCACAGTTCATGTACTGCACATTAAGTTGAAAACTTGCTTTTAAAGGGCTCACACACAATGCTGCACGTGAATATTTGGTTATTAATGTGCATCTCGTGCAATTTTTTTTTGTGCACACGGGCCGATATTTTTTGCGTTTGGGAGCATTGTGTGAAACAATAGTTCATAGTATTGCATAATATTATACTTACAAAACCACCTAGTAATAAAATATTTGGGGAAAAAAAGTGATGCGTTTTCCATGGCGCTCAGTATATATAGACGTACACTTTTAACAGAAATTGCCATCCCAAAAAAGAAATAAAAGTGTACATCGGCTACATCCATTGAAATTGACAATTTTATTTTCGATCGCAATCAAAAAGCATATTTGGACCTAGAAATGCCTAAGTCTCCGCCATTTCAAGTACATCACAATTCCACGACGGTGGCGACAAGGTCATACTGGGTTCCTGTTCCATACGCTACTTGTTGCATATAATACGGGCATACATATTGATCATACAGTAATATAGTTATAGCCTGGCTGGTTAAAGATAGTAATAAAGGTTACTGTACTATTATCCACTTACGTTTTTATCAGTCAAAACACCAACTATATAAGGTCCTATAAACCCTGTGGTTGTTCCAAATGTATTTGTCAGACCCATTAATATACCTGTAATGACAACCACAAAAGCTGTGTATTGCAAATGACATTACATTGAGTTACAACCCAGTACATTTTGTTTAATATATCGTCCATATATATCGTAACGTAAAATAAATACTTCAAGGTTCTGCTCTCCGAGAAATGAAGCTATCTGTAAAAGCAAGCTAGATTTGACCAGTTAATATTGTGATATAGAAAAGTGATAGATGAGATCGGCAATGTAATTGGTTACCAATATAGAGTGTAGTAGGGAAATAGCATGGAAAAACCAAAAGAACTCTTGGCATTTCGAATTCAATGTACAGACCGTAGCTCCGCTGTCCGGACAAAATATCCCCCATAGCACACTGTATGGCGTATGCCCGCCTGCATTATCCCAGTCGGAGCAGAATAGTAGGATGTTAACCCCATTTCATTTCAGAATGTAGCAGTAAAGAATTTTGACCTCTTGTTCGAGATCTGGGGCCTGTTTCACGAAATTTAAACTAAGATAAAAATCCAAATTTTAGTAATTTGATTGGATAATATTGGATTGATTTTAGTGCTTAGCCAATCAAAATTGAAGTATCTACTAAAATTTGGATTTTATCTTTAGTTAAGATTTCGAGAAACAGGTCCCTGGTTATAAATTCTGCATCATGTCCAATTCTACAAATAAATACTAAACGAATTTCATTTGAATATTGACATTTGAAAATAACCAACCACTACGATAGCGATAATCTGACGGTAGCGGGTTTGAAGCGAAAAAATAAAAACATCAACTGGTTCCAATATTTAATTGTTTTATTTACCTGAGAATTTAGGAGCTATATCTATATGATTACATGTATAGCCAGCAGCCGTAAGACCATTTACAGCAATAGCTAATGTCAGTAATGCCACAGCTAAATTAGAATCACAGTTTGTATAGCCCATACCTAACATAAACCCAGCTGGTAATAATAAACCTACAAACAAAATTCAAATGTATTACATTTCAGGCTAAACATATAATAGCCCCACGACAATCGTTATCCTAAATATCCTAATATATTCCCCATCAATTCGAATATATATCCAAGCTACGGTATCTTTAGAAGCACTCCAAAGGAGACTTTTTTGCCATTCTGAGTCACGATGGCTCAATGTGAGGCGCTAACTACCTAACCAGGAGGACTTGGGTTTGACCCCGTGTTGGCCGAGGAATTTTCAGGGTGGTTTTCCCCTTGTCAGCGGTCTAGGGTGGGAGACCTGACAAAGAACAGCATCTAGTGGTTCGGATGGGACGTAAACCAGTGCACGTAAAAATTTTACTAAAATAAGCCTTGGAAGATGAAATTCCATGGAGAGTTGCAGGAAATTTTGCTCACAACACACTGCAGGGCGCATGTCCGTCTTCATTAGCTCGATTGGTGCAGAAAAGCTGGTTTTACTGATCAAGGGCACAAACATTGGCTGGTGCCCCCTTTGTGATTTATTGTGAGATTACAAGGCGATTTGAATCTGTATTTTCGTTACATACATGTATATACTACTTTTCGATGAAATTACGTTTACAAACACGTGTAGATGACCTAGTTATACTCTAGTACATAGCTAACTTAATATCTAGATTGTGATTTGTCAAACATGCATCTACTGGAACAAGTCATCAATCAATCGCAGCAGAGGAATTAATTTAATTCGACGTGGTCTACACATGGCTATAACATAAGGTGGGTAAATGCACATGCCAACTGATTACCTAAAGTGTTCATAAGTTTTCTAGTAGCAACTGTTGACAGATATTTCTTATCCCGAATCCAATCAGCAACAAGTCCTGTAAGAATTGTTGTAACCATGACAGCCATGTAAGGTACAGCTGAGAGAATACCATCCTGTTGGAATTCAAATAAAGGTCAATATAAATTATGCACACCACTACGCAGAATGGAAAAATGACTGCTACTGCTACAGGAGAAATCGAAATTAACAAATGTAATTTTTCAGGCACACAGAATGAGACACAGTCTCCCCTTCATATCCTTTAACCGAAATAAAACTCTGATGACATTTTGTAAGTTATCGATGTTATCCATGTGATTGGTATACTATGGAATGGTCATGTTTCATCAAACAAGACAAACTGCGACCCTTTTTTGAAAATTATTAACAATACCACAAGAGCATTCTACGCTACACAACCGAACATACAAAATCACCGGTTATTGTGACATAATTACTTTTATATTACAGTGTGTGTAAAAAAATGAGCATTTGAATTATATTAGGACAGGGTGCGGGAGAAGGGGAAAACTAATTCCAACATCGACATACATTCGGTTGACCATCGCCATTAACTGCATTAGTTTACACCATGAATAACTTTTATTTCTCAGTCTTTTTTATGTCTGCATCTAGTGACCGACCACAGACTGATGACTTTGCGCGATTCGGTAGATGCCATGCAGCTCTGCTGTATTTGTGATATAATGCGTTCAAAGTATAAGATTATGGAAAATTTGGGAGTATTGAAGTTATGTGTGTTCGGGAAATTATACCCCCGACCTCTCTTCCGTCTAAATACGTCCAACGTATAGTATGGGATGTTATATATATATATATGTCTTCGGGAAATTATACCTCCGCACCCCACTTCCCCAATAAAAAATAAATACACGTAAATACCTTATCAATATTATATTTTAAAACAAATTTCATGTAAGTAGGTAGACACGATGCTAGAGTGAAGAAACCAAAATCTGTAGCTACGTGTGCAGCGACAATAGCCCAGACAGCACTTGATGTAAAAATAGATGTCCATGGCGGCTTCAATTTCTAGAAAACAGAAACAATTCAGTACATAACTACCCGTCGTATAATGAAATTAGTAAGCGTTATCATTGGTCCATTTGATACTTTATAATTTTATATGAATCTTTTAAACCATATTTCCATATACTCCATTATGTAGAAATAGGGTCTTTAATAAGGTCTAAAATAAAAAGGTTATCTTTGAGCTGACCTTTAAATCTGACATGTTGTTTTCGTCGGTATGAAAAGTACTGGTAGTTGTTTGAAGTAGATGTAGTTCTTCTGCTGATATTCTAGGGTGATCGGCTGGCAGATCATGTACCAATAACATCCATATTATAAACCACACACACCCAATACCACCTATTCAAGATACAATAACACCCATATTATAAACCTATGGAAGATTATAAACCACACACGCGCCCCACCTGCTGTAGATATTATTCTATGACATCTATATTATAATATAAACACACATACACGATGTCATTTACGCAGATATAAGAACATCATCTATATAATAAACCACACATACACGATGCCATCTTACTGTAGATACAAGAATATTGTACCACTTATTGTAGATTAGAAATGGTAGTCATTTGACTACAAAAAAAGTTACTGACCTATAACTCCTTTTATGTCCAATCACACTGACCCCAAACTGTACTGTATATAGCTTAACATATAATAAACCAATTCCCATTGAAATAAGGACGAAACCTTACCGCATAATTACATGTATATGATTTGATTAAACTGCCATGCGAAATTTCTGTTCATTTTAAAATGGCCACCGAACCAGAATCACGTGATTTCATGTCACTCGAACTTACAGAAAAACTGTTCAGTAATACAAGATTAAGATTTCAGTGTTTCACTCTTTGTAACATTATTTCCATGCAAACTGTGATGATATTGTGTTGAAAACTTTGCAATAGAACCTAATTTTACTTGCCCAAAGCCTCGAATAGTGTATCAATTGTAGCCGTTAATAATAATTATCACGGCTACAAATATTGCAGATAACTGTAGATATGCCACAAAAATAACACCCATACGAAAATTACACATGCGATACCACCTATACTAGAAAAACACTCCTATTACGTATCTTAACGTCATTGAACAATAATACTGAATGAACATTCATTTTTTCAGAGAATATGAATAACTAGCATAATCTAATTACGAATTACATATACGATATATACTCTTCCACAAAAGTAGGGGATATTCAGATGCAAATACCTATGCAGGTTGTGATATGATAAATAGTCATGGACATTTGACATGCTTTGAGAGTATGTTCCTAGATGAAGAACTTATCACCCCAACAGAACCACTGAGCCGCACATGCGATACGCAATAGCGCCATACACGTGGGAGGGGTTCAGGGAAGGGTTGATGAAAACTGCCGCGTGCTGGTTTATCCTATCCAAGTTTGCTTTCCTATCAGTTCTTGCATAAGATTTACTGTTTAGCGTATCTTTGCTTTAGTGTGTTAGGTTTAATTTGCAATGAGACATCTGCAATATGATGAACGTCTACGTACTATCGGTATGCTTCAAATGGGTTCTACAGCGAGCAGTAGCCAACATGCTTAATGTGTCACAGTCTGTGATCAGCAGACTGTGGAACCGGTATCAACAAACACACAATGCTGATGATAGACCTCGTTCAGGTCGTCCTAGAGCCACTACACAAGCCCAGGATCGATACATTCGTACACAGGTCCTGCGAAATCCAGGATAAACGGCCAATCAGCTTTCTGTAAACTTGTACCAAGTTACAGGAATTCGAGTTACACCCGAAACGATTAGAAATCAGCTACATGCAGCCCATTTGCATGCGCGACGACCGCGTGTTGTGTCCCCATTAACTCGCCAGCACATGGCAAACAGGCGTCAATGGTGTAGGCAGGGTAGAAATTGGGGTAATCGTCGATGGGCGCGTGTAATGTTCTCAGATGAGTCCAGATTTACTCTGGATTTCACCGATAGGCGTGCTCGCGTTTCGAGGCGTGTAACTGAGCGCCATGCTAACGTTAAAGTAGCTAAGTCTCTAACTCAATATCATCCAAAATCTTCGACATTGAAAACACGAATTATTTGTCAATTAACATCAACATTGATGTTGTGACCTTATGGGGAAAAGATGGGCTTCTGATATTCAATAATTACGACAAAATAAACATTTTACCGTTGGTACACGAATCGTGTACCATGGTGCATTTCGGCGCCATTTTTAACAAGGGACTCGTAGAAACAGGCTAGATATATTCCACAAGTCATGTCAATCTGTGACGCCATATTCTTATCTGGAGAGCATGCGCAATAAATACTATCGGTATAGAGTGGAATAACAAGGCGCTAGAAATTGCCATTCGATTGAAACTGATTAGAAATTACAGTAAAAACAGAAACGAATGAATGCAAATCAGTTTATATACATTCACATTACATTATTATATGCGTTGCGACCCATTTGTGTCAATTTCTAGATCCAAAATATTAGCGATTTAGCTCCTTTAACGTCAGACAGCATGACAGATTCGGGCGTGGATCTTTTATGGCGTGGGGAGGAATCACCATGACTGGCAGAACGGACTTGCATATTGTTCAAGGATAGTTCTGCCCTTTGCTCAACGTGCAGGTCGACGTTTCATCTTTCAAAATGATAATGTTCGTTCCCACCGCGCTCGTTTCGCGAATGACTAACTCCAGCGTCACAATATTGTCCATATGCCTTGACCAGCCATGAGTCCGGACCTTTCCCCTATAGAGCATGTCTGGGGCATAATCGGGAGACGTGTTCGTCGACGTCAACGTCAACCGACAACACTGCAAGAATTGGCCGTGGCACTGCAAGAGCAGTTGGTCAGATTGCCCCAAATCGTGATTGGACGGTTGATTAGGAGCATGCCATGGTGAATTGCTGAAGCAATTGATGGAGCAATTACTCATTATTAAGACAAAAATCAAAAACGTCCATTTTCACTTTTGACAGCGTATCTCTTTGCGAGTGAAATGGGGCCGTCAGATAAGCCGCCCATATGAACTGTTTATGTTCATGTGTAGGCAATTGGCCTGTTATTACATAAACTGGTTACCTCTAATAAAAACAGCAGTGCATTTCCGCAGTTTTGTATTGTTTCTGCATATCCCCTACTTTTTTTTGAAGAGTATATAATAGATGCAATATGAGAAAAGTTTAATAAATGGAAGCCATGGCCAAGACGATAATAATCTGAGTGCAATCATATAAATAGATTGGGTGCTCACTGCTAATAGGTGTAATATCATTGATATTCAATTTCATGCAAATATCAAATTTAACAAAGCCCGTTACTCACCAAATAGATAGAAACATGATGGCCAACCACCAATATATTGACTCTGACAAATATATCCTGAAACAATGAGTCCCACAGTTGTTCCTGATCCAGATCCTAAAATTAGATTAGCTTATGACAAGTGTGTTAAATAGTATGTGAATGACCTCCCAGTGAAGCGCAGAGAGAGAGAGAGAGAGAGAGAGAGAGGGCGGGGGCATCATAAGGCCTGTCATTGAGTCAACTGGCGTGGTTTCGAATCCCCGGTTGTACGTGACAAGGAGTCGGGTTGCCTGTCCAACCTCGTGGGTTTTCTCCGGATCCTCCGGTTTCATCCCGACAAAGAATTAACGCCTTATGGATTTTTACCGGTTCGTTCAAAAGTAATTTTCAATTTGCAATGATTTATCTATACATTTACATAGAATATCTTTATGAACATTTTGAGACAAATCTGTCGATGAGTGAACTTCCAGTACCCGTTTTTATTATGCCAAATGTTGCCCATCTAATTCAAATCGTGTTCGATCCCTGCATTGGCCGAAGAAGTTCATTGAGCGAGATTTTCAGACGTGTTGTCCCCTTGTCAGTGGTGCAGGACGGATGGTCTGATAAGGACAGCTGTCTAGTCGTTCGGTTGAGATAAAAAAAAAAACGAGGACGCGCGTATACATTGGCGTACACGTAAAAGATCCCTTGGCAGTTGGAATTCGATATAAGAGTAGGCCATAGTGCCGCTGCCAGGGGAAAAAATTCCTTCATAACACTCTGTATGGCGTATGTTCGTCTTTCATTAGCCCAGTTCGGAGCAGAACAGTAGGGCGCTAAACCACATTTCATTTCATTTCATTCCTAATTCAAATGTGGTTATGCCCTGCTAATTTCAGTTTACGTGATACTGATTTCCGTCATACTGGACAGCATATTTTGTTCAGAAAGACTTACAGTATAAGGATCACAAACCTAATCATGTCTAGATACACAGATCTTGGAAATCTATTCTAATAGCTATATTTACTACGACTATAATATTAGGTCTTTTATTAATCCAGAATAATATGATTTATTCATTTGATGTTTTCATGCCCTTAAAGGGACTATCCCGATTTGAACTGAGTCTCAAAAATATAAGTCAGAGTACGTTTGAAATTTAAACGCCAAAATAGAGAGGAATGTTGTATTTACCCCCGTCTCAACATTTTAGCTCAAAATATTGAGTCGTTTGGACGTGAACTTCAAAACTGCTTATCCGGACACGTAACCTTTTTAAGATTACGGGTCAATTTTTCAATGGGAGACCTAATAATCAATTACCGTTCATTTTGAGGTTCATACAGTGGATGACCCATGTGCTATACTTTATAACGAAAGATAGATTTCACTGACACATTATTTTTTTTATAAAATAAAAGTCTTGGTTTTATCCAGACACCTCATAATACAGCTTGGGACCACTGGTTTTCATTTCCGGGATGAATATTGACGGGTTTAAGTTGCATGAAAAGGTATCACATATATCGAGTTAGTTGCTCGGCTCTAAGGTAGAGGATTTTATGGGATTTTAACACAAAATTAAGCAGTTTTATTCTCCAAAATATTATCGGGATTGGCCCTTTAATGTACTCATAGATTTAATCTCCGATTTTCGGACCAGTCATATTCTAAAAAGCTGACTAAATTTTAAACTAAGATTATTATAAACTTTGATTAGCCTAATCATTGAGTTAAACATTGTTCGAGAATACCATAAAATGTGATATTCTGGGGCGTTGGCTTGAACTTAATCGTTGACTAAGTCAACCCAAATATTAGTCATCTCAGGGGGGTAGTTGAAGGAAGGATTAAGTGCTTGGATATGCCATTATTATGCATTCAGCTATGCAGTTATGAACCAATTAATATAAGCATGAAACGACTTTTATTTCAAAATGAAATGAAATGGGGTTTAACGTCCTTCTTATCTGCATCTACTGGACTAATATAGTTTGCCATCGAATTATTTTATCAAAGCATCAACACTATAATACGGACTACTCTTATTTCGAATTCGACTGTAAGGGGTTCCTTCGCACCTTCCGTCCTGCACCACTGCCACAAAGGGTTACCAATCAGGCAGGAAAATCCAGATGAACCTTCTTGGCCAATAACGCGAGCGAATACGAGATCTCCAGGTTAGCGAGCTAGCGTCATACTCACTTAGCTCCCCTTATTTATTTTTAACACCATAATATTTCCCTTTCACCATAATTCGCACACCCGCTTCGCATACTCAACTTACGCTGTCTGTCTATAATTATATATAATTTCAATTTACGCCCTTTCACCCGTTTTCGAGCCGTAAAGGATAGTCCGGTGGCTGAAGGGGGGGGGGGGAATCGCCACCCGAGCTGTGAATTTATGAGATCAAGTTTTTCTAGACCAGTTTTTTTGTGTAGATTCTGAATCTGGGTGGTGATCAGGCGTTTGAGGGGCGTTTTCGATATATAGGGGGGTCAATGTCTACAATGGGGGTGGGGGGATGTCATTATGTTGACATAATATTTTAATAAAACACAAATTTCTAGGTCTGCCCATCTTTAAATAAGTGTTTATGATGCCCCTGGGCAACTGTTTTGATTTGTGGGAAGGTGGGGTGGGGGTAACAGGTGTAGGTGTGCGTGTGTGGAGGGGAGGGGAAGGTGTTATTATGTTGACATAAATGATGACCGTTTTATATATCAATAAAATAAGTGTTTATGATGCCCCTGGACAACTGTTTGATTTGTGGTGTGCGTGTGTGGAGGGGGGGGGGGGATGTAAAACTGTCGGGAAATGAGTTGTTGATTTAAATGATGATTTTCTTAGAGCTTGGTAAAATCATTACTTTTTAATTCTTAATTCCACGGCACATCTCTAAATATGTGTATAAGATTACCATTGTATGGGGGGATGTATTTTGGGGAACAGAAACCACTTGGTTCAAAATTGACCTGAAAAGTGTTTTCTCAAGTTTTTCGTTCAGTACCAATATCGTCATTCAAAATATTAAATTATAATGGTACTTTTCGAGAGATCTGGAAATGTACATAAAAAACACATGTTTAGATAGATATTAGTTTATTCTTATATGAGCAAGGTAGATATCTTCTTGATGGCTGATCAACGGTTCGCATATATCCTTTGGATATGCTTCAGATACCCATTCACATTGTAAATCTTCATTCCAGCCTTGTATCGCAGGGTCATTTTGTTCGATCATTGGTTTTGCAGCCTGTCTCCATATTGTTGCAACATAATTATTGCGTTTAATGTGCAGCAAAAGACTACTCAGGCAAGATAGTAATAAAGAAAAAAAGTTTGTTATTTTTCATCACAATTAAAATTCCCTCAGAAGATCTTTCTTCTAGTGTCATCGGTTTTCGCCGTACAAGGTACAAACAATTTTTATCAGAAACATCATTTGTCTATCCCAGCTCTTTAAAAATTGTTAGAAAGTTGGGATTATCTTGAAAAAGAAAGACAGATAGTCATTACCACTAAAAGTATGTACCGTAGGCCGAGATATTCTCGACACTTTCAATACTAATCTTGATTGGATCAAAAAATATCAAGATTAGTATTGAAAGTGTCGAGAATATCCTAGAACTGACAACCAACCACGAGGACACCAAAATATCTTACCTACTCCACTTCGCATTGCAAAATAATGGAGGTGCTGAATAAATTGTATTTTGCTATCTTGCTCGGGCGAAATAGACATCCCAATCATTCTCTTCGCAAACCATGATCAAAATATACAAATTTGGATCGATAATGAGACGACAAAGGTAGAAAATATCGCAAAAGGCGACTTACATCAGTAGATGACGCTAGAAAAAAGATTTTCTGGGTGAAAAAGTAGCAGACCTTTCTTTATTACCACCTTGCCGTATACTTGGTCTTTTGCTGCATGACTGGAATCAAGATTTACAACGTGAATTGTGTAGAGAAAAAACACAAGGCGATGTTGTTGTTACATTCTTTGTTTCAGTTTCATATGTTCACACAATATGTCCATCAAAGAGATGTAAGAAATAAAAAAAACAGCCAAGCTCCAAGCGGAGCCAACTAAATAATTGTATTTTAGGTCTTTGAAGCTTGATAATTACAAATATACACTGTTCATGTTTTTAATAATAAACGACATTATATTTAATATATCTATTGAAATTTTATTAAATTGGCACTCAGTTGGATGCATAAAAATTTCAAAAGCAGTATCTAAACGGCTAATTAAATTCCATCAAAACATGAAAGAGACACATTTTATGTTATATCATGACATATCATATATGCGAACAACGTTATTAAAAATGATAATTACATTTTCATCTTCCAGGTGACCGGTCTACGTCTGGAGTCTAATTTAAAGGCCAAACTCGATTATATTTTGAAGAATAAAACTGCTTAATTTTGTGTTAAACGCCCTTAAAATTCTACCTAAGGGCCGGGCAACTTACTCAATATACCTGATACGTTTTCAAACAACTTAAACCCGTCAGTCTTCATCTGGAAATGGAGATCGGCGTCCCAAGTTGTATTATACGGAGTTTGGATAAAACCAGGCTTTTATTTTATAAAATAACGTGTTGGTGAAATTGACCTTTCGTTATCAAGTACAGCACATGTGTCATGCACTGTATATAGACCTCTAAAAGAACGGCAATAGATTATCAGGTCACCCAACTAAAAAATTGAATCGAAATCTTAAAAGGGTTACGTAACCGGATAGGCGGTTTTGGCGTTGACGTCCAAACGACTCAATATTTCGAACTGAAATTTTGAGACAAAGTAAATACAAAATTGACAAATAATGATTAATTCGGATGTTAATCCGAGAGAATTTTCTATTGTAGTGAAGACAATTACACCTCCGCACCTCCCCATTGTGAACTCAACTGGGTCGCTTGTGAGAAATGTGACGGATAACAACTACTGAGATTCACTGTCCCAATACAATACCAAAAATTTCATACTCTAATTTACTTGGATATCTTTTTTCACGGACCCGCCTTTTCTCCCTCCTAACCTCCTACTGATCACTTTGACCCCCAGGGTGGGAAACACTCTTCTCAAACATATGTTTTTGTAATCTACTTCCTGTAACTGGCCCCTTTCATCCATGATAAACATAAACTCTTTAATCAATGATTATATGGAATCGGTGATTTACAATCAAATTTTAAAACTTAATTTTAATTGTTGATGAAGAGAATTTCTAGTCTAAGATTAGTTAATCTGACTTTTGAGAATGCCAAACTTAGTCAACAACTAATCTCTAATTTAGCTTACTGATTAGACCTAATCACCGATTATTTTAGACACTGTTTAAACAGCGGCTTTTCTGCGTTTTCTCTTTGGAACTGTGAAATCACCCGGTAAAATGTAAAATGTAAACTGCCAACATGTTTCCATGGGCCCTCATTTATTTTCTTCAATACAACTCGTTTTAACCATGCCAAAACGGAACCAAGAAAAACCCAATGACATTTTACTTCAATATAAGACATTTTTCACTTCAGTACATGATCTCCCGAATAGAGGTCATAGGAAGATGAAATACGCAATCTTGTGATCTTTGTAAAGATAATATATATATATATATATATAAATTACCTGAATATGTTATGGTGACTAATCTACTCCTCTCAGATTTTGGCGCCCATCTTCCCCACATAGAATGCATAGCTGGATAAATGACACCCTGTTAAAATAAAAAAAATCTAATAATATTGTCAAAGGGAGGCGATCCCTTACAATTAGACGAGTGAGAAAAATAAATAATGTATTTTTAGTTTTCATTGTTAACTGTGTCTTTCTACACTAAGATAACCGACATGATAGTACTGCTATATACTTTGCTAGATGTGTATCTTCCTACATTAAAATACCCGACATAATAGAATTGCTATTTACTTTATTAAATATGTGTGTTCCTTTAAAATAACTAATGTGTATCTTCCTACATTCAAATATATACGAGCGTATTATAACAAAAACATAATGTCCTATAACAGCCTCTACCATTCCCATTGCAACACCCGATCAACCAAATTGAGCTCATATTTTGAGATTTTGTTCCTTTAAACATTTCGTATCAATAACAATTACTAATTATTAAACGTTTGCATCTGATGTGCTCATTAGGATTTCGAACATTTGCTTTCGATACCTTATTTCGATTTTCTGCTTTGCCATTGCACGACTTTTATCAATCCAATTCCAACTACAGATTTGACATTTAGGCCTATATTGTAAATTTCACATCCCAACGAGAAAATATTGTTCTCATAGCTTAAGCTTATAGATAGGCCTACCTGTGTAGCTCCCTCCAAAAATCGAACCCCGACCAACATCCACCAATTGAACCTGGCGGCTATAGGAGACAACAGACTCAATAAAGACGTCACCAATATGGCTCCCCCAATTAACCGTTTCCCGCCAAAATATTGAGCTAACCAGCCACCAGGAATTTGTGTTAAGCAGTATCCATAATAAAATGATCCAAGAATAATTCCTTGAATTTGTCCATTCCATTGAAATTCTCCTTCCTGAAATGAAAGGATTGGCGATTTTTGTAAATATAACGTAACAATCTAATCAAAACGTAATTTTCGGTCCATTTCTAAACAAAAGATAAACGAACTATTGGTAGAATTTTAATTAGACTAAACATATCCAACAATCTTGCAGTACTATAAGCATCTTTTCAGGGCATACGTAAAATGACTATATATAACAGAACAAGCGTAAAATGGTCACAGAAAAAGCATTAAAATGATTGCACATATTAAACATACATTATGCAAGAGCTAAATTTGCCAATTGCAGGTCTTTCTTTAGGCCTTAGATGTTATCTAAATTATTAATTAGACATTAATTAACTAATCCATACCATAATCAACTCTTGACATCATCGCTAGCCTGTAATATTTACTGGATTGTAATCCGATCTGCTGCTCAACGTTCATTCCTGATTAAACCAAAAATAATCGAGACTATGTTTTCTATCGTACCGACTTTGTAATGATGATCGAGGCTAGGCCAAAAATTCAATCCCTAAATTCTCGATTCAGAGTGGATCAATTTGACTGAAATTTTCAGCAAATTCTCTTTACATTATCTAGTATTTAACTATTATAGTGAGAACTACCAGCTCTTTATCTAATCTCCCATAATGTATCTTTAAGTGGAAGCCATTTGATAAAAACAGAACTTTTAACTCACAGTTAGCGGTACCATAGGTGTATGGTTGCCATATTTAGGCATACATTCCAAACTCTGGTTGACGTTCTTATCAGATACATTAGCATATACCATGGCCACCATTGCAACGCTTAAATTTGATCGTAAACTGAAGATGATGAGAAACCCAGCGGAGGATAACAATGCTAGCACGATTCTTGCTGAAATACAGGGACAGCAACTCGAGCGTCGTCCTGAAATAAATCAATGACATAACCAGTAAATTGCTATTAATCCGGGCAGGTCCCTTGGTGTAAAACAACCAGCATGCGTACTTTAAATTGGTATTATTACTATTAAAATGACTAAAAGGCAGCATTCTGCCCGAAGCAGTAACGTCTTATGTAAACAATGCACGCGCCTTTCAGACAATGATTAACGCCGCGTGCTGTGACGGCTCGTGTTAAAGGCAGTCATCTTTTACAGAGATATTAGAGGAGACTCGTTATTCCCTGTGAAACAGATTGCATCCGATTGCATAATTTAGGAGAAATTAAGAGTCTCGTGCAGGAACTAGCAAACTTTGATTCAAGTAGATTATGAACATAATATTAGTCCGAGATTAACAATTAATATCCTTATATCCCATACAATGAGCCACACCCACTTCCGACAACTTACCATACTTTCCCCGAACAACCCGACCCGCCCTCAATATTTCCAGACTAACCTCGTCGTACAGATGGCCAATATAAACTATGTATATTATATTACCTCGTCTCGTCCTGCCATCCTCTTGTGGGTAACCAAGACTGTCTTCGTATGTATTGTCATCATATACTGGTGCTCTAAGACGCTTCGGCATCAACGGCTTTTTCTCATCTTCTAACAATTGACACATTGTTACGTCTTACTGGAATTAAATAGACAAGACTCCGTCGGTTAAAATTCTAATGTATGCCTCTTACATGTCTTTATTTTGACTTCAAATGTTATATAAACTACTATTAACTATTATTTAAGCATTTTTTTTCACAGGACAAGCCTATAATCAACTCTCTAGGACATAGAATGATAAAAGTTTAAATGGATTAGAACACCCGCGACATTTAAAAATTTAATGATAAAATAGATAATCGGGACTTAGTCTGGTTGTCAAGAACCGATGCTACGTTAATGAACAATCTACGCTAACCTTTAAACACTCATAACTTCACTCAGAAAAAATAATTTGAATGAAGTTTTCAATATATTTATTTTTCAGTGTCTGTTTTTGATCTATTAAAGTATGAACATCCAACGCTTTGTGTAAATCTTACATAATGCATCTTTAACGTTGAGTCTCTAATAGGAATATCGATCCGTCCAAAATTGATTCAGTTGTCTTCGTTATTTACAAAGATATGACAGATGTATGTAACTACCAATGTGATAAGATGGCCGCCATCTTTATTGGCCGTGGACAAAATTGATGTAGTGTTTTAAACAAGACTGTAACCAAGCTGGTAGTTTATCTAAGCGTGTGTTGTTTGATTTTGTTTTCTTAATCAAATATTTAATATGCAATATGAATACATATTTGCATGGATTAAGCCATGAGAGTATATTTTCCGAAAAATGCAAATTCACACATTGTTACTCCACTGAGTATAACGTTTACAACATGTATACATATAAAAGGATTCAAAACTGTGGCGGATTCTAAAATATCACTTTTCTTTACCCCAATCTTTTTTTCTGCACATTTAGGCATTTCATCGCAAATACGCATTAAAACTTTCTCCAAATTCAGCTATTTATCAAAATACATACAATGCCCCATGAACAGCAAAACATTGTGAACATTTAAGATGACGTGGTATCTTTCTTATATTTCTTGATATCATAAAGAAAATAAATTGGAAGTCAGAGTGATTAAGCAAATGATTAAGTTAACATGTGATCTCAGGTGTGGAATATATTATGGAATGATAAATAAAACTTAAGGTGGGTATATTCCAGTTTTACGGAGGTGGGGGTCCATGGTTTAATATCCGCGCTCTCCTTCTCCCCCCCCCCCTTTTTGCATGTCGATCTTTGTTGACTTTTTGGTGTATAATTGAAGAAAAGGGTCTGAATATACATTTTCTGCCAGGTTTTGGTGAATATTCATGATTTTGAGGGGAACGATACAAGAGTTAAGAGGTTTGTTAGGTTGAAATGTAGGGCGGAAAATTGCATGTTTACTGTTGCTCCATCTGTGGTAGAAAGCGTCCTACCCAACGGAAATTTGGGAAAAGTTAGAGCCGATCTAAGAGACGAGAATTAACATTTAAGTCAATGGGGAAATCATTGTTGATCATTTAGCTCCCCGTACCTGATAATAAAGATATATGGTTGTCTCCCCACCCAAGTGGGGTTGTATTGTCGCGGTTTTGAGTTTCTGTCCATTGCTAAAGACGAAATGTCCACGACAAATTTAGCATAGGACACCACAGCACAGTTTTGATATGACCTAGTTGAATCTCTGTGTTGATAATGGGATATCACGTAAGTAAACCAATAGATGATTATATTGTCGTAGTGCATATGGGTTATCGGTTAGTTGACAATTCTACGTGACAAGGAGTAGGATCGCCTGTCCAACCTCGTGGGTTTTCTCCGGGTCCTCCGGTTTCCTCCCACTGCTAAAGACCCCTACGCGCAAGCGAATTGTTGAAATAAAGTTAAACCATATGTTAGTCCCGAAATGACCTAGTTTGTGTCGAGTGGACGTTAAACCCCATTTCTCTCTCTCTCTAGTTGACAATTCAAACATTTTCCTGGTGTTTTTTGGTGTTATTTTGAACTGTATTAAAAATACATAATCACTTTCAACAAACAAAATACATGTAACGAATCATTTGTAATATATCATCCAAAATAACCTAATAGTCTCCAAAGATAATTCAAAATCTAATTCAAATTTGTTTCACACGAAGGTCCACTGAACTCCTAAAAACCACAACAAGTTATAATGTGTACGAGTCGTAATGAATCTTAAAAAAACAAATGCCTCAGCGAAAGACCGATCTCAAATTTGAAATACAATCCAATCTGAACACCTCCTGAAGTAACTGTTTAGTTAAATCTCGGCAGATCGAAAATTATATAATTACCCACAAGAGAAGCCTCTTTAAATACAGGCGAACTAAACGTACTACATGCACTTCTATTTATATCAGTTATAATCAGTAAAATGCAGTTTGACCCCAATATTTAATTTTCTTTCAAGGCAAAGTATAAAGAGAAAATTAATCATGTTTATTACGTTAGTTTATCGTTTATAAATAATTATATCAATCATTCAAATGTATTCGATTCCTACTATAATACTGACCCCCAATCAAAGACAGTAATCAGTCAGCAAAAATATTTAGACAATGCTCTACTTTTGATGGATAGCTTTTGTTCAATTGTATTCATTTGCAGGCATCAGCCAGTCAGGAACATCTTGTTCTTCTAGTCAGCATTAGGGCGTGGTTAAATACGAAAGTACCTAGCCAAACCTGGTACTCGGCTAAACTTTCACAACTGTGTGAGCTGTGGAGGTCAGGCATGCCTAATGCGGGGCGTGTTCAGGAAGTATTGCGTGAAGTGTGGGGGATTAACCGAGTAATTAATCAAGTCGGAAGCTCTACGACAAAATTTCTGCTCATTTATAGATGCAATCATCTTGAGGGTTATTTGGAAGGATAACGCTGCCTAAAGTCTGAAGATAAAACGAACAAATTACATTTTTCAATGTTTAGAAATACTAATGTCATTTTGTAAAAAAAAATGCAAAGTACACTTTTCAAAATACGGATTGCTAATTTATTAGATTCCTCTGAACCCCGTGGAGTCGAAGGGTATGGGTCAGGGGGCATAAAATTAATGCAATTTAGACGGCCACTAACGCGTTTTGCTGCTATTTCAGCCCATGAGTACATCAACTCAAAAATGGTCCAAAATAGCCTCATTTATGTGGCTTCGCACGTTTTTTTGTTCGACGTTATGTCGATGAATGTCGGAGAAAAAAATGTGCTCTGGTTACGGGCCTGGCAATTCATTCTTATATTTAGGGAGCAGCGCCTGCGAATCTGAAAAGACAAGTGCTGCCCAGCCGTTCCAAAGCTACAAACCACATTGGGGTGCACCTACTAAAACCCTGGAGAGTTGGAGGACACACCACTGTCACATAAAGAGCATGTACAGTGACCACATAAAAGTGACCCGGACACAAATACATACAGGGTTAAGCCCACTTAGTCTCTTCTTAACCAAAGTTTGCTGTTCTTTTGTATCGAGATGTTATAAAATAAACAAGTGACCTGGCCATGCACTTACCCTGTAAATTTAACTAGCTGTTAGATTTTCTTTAAGGATCTTTGAACTTTTGATTTCTTTATTTCACCACTAACTAGCCGATCTTTCCTATTCTAGCTATATTTATTTCTCCATTTAATTGTAAAAGTTATCTTTTCTTTACCACACATACGTTATTGTTGTTCTATCGGCAAACGTTGTGTTATTTTAATCCCTTAGTGGCATATATTGACCTCTCAGTTTACTAAATGGTATTTGCTTGATAACGATAAGAGGAGACTTATCGAAACGTCGTGCTTGTATATAATAAAACCAGTGATTGTTTTCCCATATAACTGTTTTAGTCCTGTTGTGTTACTTCCCATAAACCACAAACAGCCACCTCGGTGACGTATGCAAATTATTGTTAATTCTATTATGTCGGCAAAATGTAACAAACCACAGTCCGTAACAATGTATATAGAAATTGCTGTTCAATTATTGGAATGATTCACAAAATGTATCGCAAACCACAAAATATATAGTCCTCTCTGTTTAGTTTCTCTGCGTAGTATGAAAATTATTGTTAATTTTGTTCCCTTGTTAAAATGGTAAAAAACACAAACATATATCGTAACAAGTTATTTAAAACTTGTTGTTCAAATTTGCCACAAATATAGTTCTCTTAAAGTGATATAAATAAAACAATTAAGATCTACAATATCCCGCTTTATCTGACAATTATATCGATCATATTGGAAAATATCCACTTCCTGTTAAAGTCATATGATTCCACTGATCGGGCTTAATTAGTTACAATAAATGTAATTTTCCTCATTGCAATTTCATTTCATTTCTAGTGAACGATATTATCTCACGACATATATCATTAAATTTGTCATATGCTTTATTGTAATCGATATAGCATGGTGATATGAACTTTGATCTGATGATAGCCTACAAGATAAAAATCGAGGTGCCACTAAAATCGAATTAATTCTGGAATACTATGAAGTCTCGTGGTTAAAACAGTGACATTATGTATGTCCCGGTTTCAAATGCCCTAGTGGGGTCTTTATCGGCTTTACCAATAATATTCATGGACTCGATTTTACACAACATCATATTAAAATACCTTTAGACTCACTTAATTAACAAAAAATCGAAGAGAATCGACCTATCTGGAGTTAAGGTAGTTTGTCTCGACATTACACAAAGCCCCTTCAGAACCACGAAAAACACCCCCGGGACATTAATTTATATGCCTCTACAGATCTCACAAATTATTAATCAATATGGTTATAACAGAAATATATCTATTTCAATTGCCATTGCAGTACGTTGGGGTTACAGGAATCTTAAGGAACAACTTCAATTTTATGAGTTGTCATATTTGAACAAAGACTGCTATGGTCACATGTTCAACGAGTCCGTCAATTTGAAATGTCAAGGGTAGTTCTACGTGCAGTACACTGTCAGTACTGTTGGCCTCGGAGAGAGAGAGAGAGAGAGAGAGTTTAACGTCCACTCGACACAAACTAGGTCATTTCGGAACTAACACATAGTTCATTTTTATATCAATAATTCGCTTGCGCGTAGGGGTCTTTA